TTGCTGTCACTGCTTCTGCTTGATTGTTTGATATTTTTGCAGACTGTAGCAATACTGCAGAAGTTCTATGCATACAATGCAACCTCTCTGGGATTAAATTTCATTAATGAGCTGATTATGAGATTCCGCCATTGTTCCAAGTGGGTTGGTCGACAAGCATTTGCTTTCATCTGCCAGGTGAGTCTGCTTCTTTCGGCGTCTGCGATGTGAGCAAAGAACAGAACTGTCTGATGCAATTTTGATATTAAAGCTAATCATACCTAAGTCCCCTGCATGAGAAATTTGACTTGAAATTTGAGGACTTATAACTTTAAAACAGGGGTAGTCAACCTTGGCTCTTTTATGACTCGTGGACTTCAACTCCCAGAATTCCTGAGCCAGCCATGCTGGCTCAGGAATTCTGGGAGTTGAAGTCCACGAGTCATAAAAGAGCCAAGGTTGACTACCCCTGCTTTAAAATATGAAAGGTATCTCAAGAAAACTTTTTCTGGTTATCTAGGCTCAGGTATATAACCAAGATGAGAGAGCCTTGAAGAAAACAGTGGCAAATTACTTCTGAAAAAACTTGCCAACAAAAATTCAGGGCGTTGCCCAGGCAGATTCTAAGAACTGGGCACCATTGAAAGGAAGGAAAAAAAAATCATTTTCATATACTTCTGAGGTTATTTTCAGCATATGAATATAAACAGGGACACACATAATAAAGCAAGTGATTTTTCTTCTATAATGTTCTTCTCAGTAGCTTATTTGAGGAAGATTATTTTATACCTATATATATTCCTCGACTTATGATGGGAATTTATGTTACTAAACAATGTGATCCTAAAACATGATGACATGCCTGCATTGCTTACCAATGGCAACCACCTTTATTTTTTTTTAAAGAAAAAATATTTTTTAAAATTTCTAGATGAAATTTTGCTAAGGATTGAAGGAAATTCATGCGGTACTAAGTAATTTATTTTCTGGTTTTATAAGGGTAATTGTCAGCTAGTAGCCTGATTAATTCTTCATTTCATAGCTTCTGTGGGCTTTGTGAATGCTGCAGGAGTCAGAACAGCTTCTCATAACTGCTATTGTATAAATGATGATGCACTGAAGTTCGGTCTTTATTTCATTAAACAAAATGCCACATAACTATTTAAATAAAACCAAAGAGCCTATGCTTACAGTTTCTCAACCTAAGCTCTCTTGCGTTTATATCATGTGAACTGGATTTGATATAAGGTTGTGTGAATATCAAAACTGTTTGCAGAAAAGATAAAAATTCCTTCTGAGTATCAAGCAGATAAAAGCTAACGGTCTCTCGTGTGATGTATGCTATCTTTTTATACCTTGAATAATGCTGAACAAAGTTAAAGAAGTCTTTGGTTCATTGTTATATATCTAATTATTTTTTTTACGTAATTGTACTATTAAGCATTATACTTATAATCAATTTCTTCCATTTTTCCTGTGCAATATTGTTATTGAACATTCAGTACAACCTCTGTGTTGTACCATCTCTCCATGGAATGGACTGTGTTCTGCTTTTTAGGCTATTTTTAGAAGTTTGAGGATGCAAGACAATTTGACTTGCAATGTGCACACATTAGAGTGCATAGCTCAACAAAAGTTCTCTGCAAAGATCAGCAAGAAATTAGCTATTTTGGATGTAACTGCTGAGCAGAGTATCTTGCTGGTTTGCATCTTTAGCATATCTAAAAAAGACCTGTTAACATATCTTAACAAATAGCCATTGTTCAAATCCCATGTAAAATCCATGTACCGTATTTACCCATGTCTATAATCTGTCTGACATGCTAAATCTGAATAGACACAGACATATACATGTAAGTACATATCATATCACAATTGTTGTATCTATGAATGTTAGATTGGTCAGAGATTAAAATACGATATATTTTATTCTCATTAAAGGCAGTATCTCATAAGAATGATTATTATCTTTTAGTTAATTGTAGAAATGCATTTATTTGCAACTATAGACTTTAGCAAAATTCATATAAAATTGCAGTAATCCATATCTTGATCCCCTCTAAATAGTGCTTTCCCCTATTTTCTGATTAAAGGCAGTAGTTGAAGAAGAATGCCTGCCTGTGGACCAGTTTGTTGAACACCTGTTGCCCAGCCTTCTAAGCTTGGCTTCGGATCCTGTGCCAAATGTGCGGGTTTTGCTTGCCAAAGCATTGAGGCAGACATTATTGGAGAAAGGTATGTTTAGTCCTTTCACAGGCAAACAGATTTCAAATGTAGTTGACTTTTATCATTATGTAATAGTGCTAATATGCACTAGGAGGTTCTCTTTAAAATTATAGAGATAATGCAAAACTTAAGAACAAAAGGATTACCATGAGTTGCAGATGGCATAACATTGCTGCCTTGTGCTCTCCTTCTACCAGAAATTGATGGTTACATGAGCTGGTTAGACTCACTTGCCAAGATGAGCTCCCTTAATCTGAATTAGAATTTGGTTCATCTAACCCAGTATTGTTGATCCTGATTAAGAATGACTTTTTGGAATTTCAGAGAAGAATTTTTCTAGCTTTGCCTCCAGTTTTTATTTTTTGTTTATGCATTATGCATAAGAGTCACTTTGGTGACACGGGCAGTGTAGAAATTAAATAAATAAAAAATTAAAAAAAATTAAAGACTCTTAAGATCTTTACAATAAGCAAAACATCCCACACAAAGATAATTTCCCCTATAATAACGCTGCCTCCCCACAATCTCAGCAAACAGAAAAACAAAAAAAAAAACCCCAAGAAGTTATCAGAAATCATCATTGTATCTGGGATCTTCTGATTGCAAGTGTGTATTCTATCATTGATTTGTTGAATCTGTGTAAGTTGCAGATTTGTTTATTGGTATCCTGACCCCTCTGATATATTTAAAGCTGAGTGCCTAAAATGTGGCAGAATAAAATTGTTAAGGAATTGTATCCCTAAATGACTCCATTTGGCCCTTTCTTGCAGCATAGCTCATGCCAACCTAGCAGTTCCATAGCATGAAAAGGCAAGTAGATAAAATGGTATCACTTTGATGGGAAGGTAACAGCGCTCTGTGACAACGGAAATGTCTTCGGACAGCTCTGGCTCAATGACCTTGAAACAGAGATGAGCACCAGCCCCTATAATTAGCAACAACTAGTGCAGAGGTAGGCCACCTTGGCTCTTTTATGACTCGTGGACTTCAACTCCCAGAATTCCTGAGCCAGCATAGCTGACTCAGGAATTCTGGGAGTTGAAGTCCACGAGTCATAAAAGAGCCGAGGTTGCCTACCCCTGGCCTAGAGCCTTGCCTGCCCATGGTCTCTCTTTGTCTGGGGCAAAGCCTCAGAAGTGTTATTTCTGATAAGATTTCTATTAAGGCATTGGTGTGGAACAGTACACCCAGAAGACTTAAATTTATTAATATACCAGCCATAGCCATATTTATAGTCTCCAGATGTTGAAAATAATAAAAATAGTCTGAATCAATCCGGACAATTTTTAATCTAAAATCAAGAAATTGACTTGGTTCCCATGAATGACCATCACAGATGAAGTATCCTAACTACATTGTTGGGTTAGACCAGGGGTAGGCAACCTTGGCTCTTTTATGACTCGTGGACTTCAACTCCCAGAATTCCTGAGCCAGCATGGCTCAGCTTGGAAACCTTTCCCTTTCCCCTCAGCATGGCTGGCTTAGGAATTCTGGGAGTTGAAGTCCACGAGTCATAAAAGAGCCAAGGTTGCCTACCCCTGAACTAGTGGAATAAAATCTGCAGGGACTCCTTTTTACAACATAGTACAATAACAAACTTATTTTGTTGGGCTCTGAACATTTCTGTGCTTTTCCTTGCGCTGTAAAGACTTTTGAGTAGTATTTTCATTTCCCATTCCTTTTGTTTGCTCACTTTGCATTTTATTGTTGGTTTTTACATGGTCCTAACACCTTGAAACCCCCACTGAATGTTTAAAAGTAGATAAATAAATGCTTTGATACTGAATAATATTCTCGTACTAATTTCTTAGCATACTTTAGAAGTGTCGGGAATCCTCATCTGGATGCGGTCGAAGAGGCTGTTTTGGTTCTCCAAGCAGACAGGGATCAAGACGTTTCGTTTTTTGCCACCATCAAACCAAAACTCAGTAACATGCACATCACGTTACTTGAAAAACAAAACTAGCATTTTTTGTGCATCTAGTCTATGAAATTATTATTCAGCTAACAAGTTCCTGCTGTGACTACTAACTCACCTGGTGGAAGAGGACTCTTGTCAAGGAAATAATGCAATTCACAAGAAAAGGCCACGTTCTTAATTCTGTTATTAAAGTGAGAAACGCGTTTGTCCTTTTATGTACATACCACCTTGATATGGAATACTTGTTTACTGTTTTTTTTATATATAATTATGTTTTTTCATGAATATGAGGAGTAATGCTTATCTCTATAAAACATCCAGCTATATGTTCATGTGGTTATGTGAACGTGCATATTTGCAGCTTAAACAAACTAAGAACATGCCTTTCGAAACACACTGATTCAAGTTACAGTGACAAACCAAGACAATGCTTGGTTTGACTAAAATTAAGAGCATTGTTGGTGAACCTAAAATATGTGGGCCTCTTGCTTATTTTGTTATTAATTGAACCACTGGCATCCCCATTTTATTGTATTACATTATTTAAAGCATGAAAATGTACTCGTCGATAAAGAGTTCAGAAAACAAATCTGTAATTTGAAAAAAGGTGAAGTACAGATTAATGTTGGTCTCTTTAAGGCGATGGCAGACAGTTTCATGAATGTTAAAAGAGTGTGGGAAATTAAATGAACTATTCTTTGTCCTTCCTATTCACCTCTATCTTTGATTGGTGCTAGTATGTCTTCTGATGAACACTGCTGTTTTCAAACAGTTACATCTGAAGGAATTCTTACATATTTTCTAGGGTATATTTCATAGGAGACGGATGCTTGGGCCTATAAACTGTTAGATTTCACTGCAGGACTAGGGCTGACGTGTTTGGGGGAGTTTCTCAACATTTGCTGGGGAGAAAGAAATTAGAATTTTCCCTTAGGAGAAAGAAGCTAGAGATATGAGTTAGCATAAGTTTGAAGTCCCAAGAACTGACTGTCTATACTGGGGATATTCTTTTTTTCAAGATGGACAGAAAAGTCACAATGAAATATTTTATCTAGCGATGTATATAACCCTTGGATTTTGCAGAGCTCCTTTCATTGCATATTCTATGATCAGCTATTTATGAAGATTGGGAGACCTTCTGAAAAAGCTTCCCACTTAGCGTGGAGGATCTCCACTTCCAGGGCAAACACCCTGATCTCCCAGTGTGCATATGGAGTCATACTACTCCAGGGGTAGGCAATCTTGGCTCTTTTATGACTCATGGACTTCAACTCCCAGCATGGCTGGCTCAGGAATTCTGGGAGTTGAAGTCCACGAGTCATAAAAGAGCCAAGGTTGCCTACCCCTGGCTTAGACCAACCGTGATCCCTGATCTTTCAATGTCTTGCTGAAGCTACAAATAGAACAAAAAAATAGTTTTTCTAACTGCTTTGGACAAGATAAAAATGAAAAGAAATATAAATAGAAAAATAAAGGGAAGGGAAAGAGGTAGATCAATGTTTATCTTGATTTTACATTGTTAAAATACAGTAATACATGCAAGAGATTTGGAAAAACAAACTCAGTCTATGAAGTGTTTCTTAACCTTGGCAATGTTTAGATCAGTGGTTCTCAACCTTTTTAATGCCGCGACCCCAACCGGTCGTAAGTCGAGGACTAAACCGGTCGTAAGTCGAGGACTACCCAACCGGTCGTAAGTCGAGGACTTTCCCTGCCCGGGAGCGTCGCGCATGCGTGGTTCCGCCCCCTGCGCCGGCCGAGGCGTAGCTGGCAAGTGGCAGAGACGGAGCAGGCCAACCACCAGCTGGCCCAGCCCAAGGGAGGTAAAGCACCCACCGGAAAAGGGGGAAAAATGGCGGACAAAAAAATGGCGGACAGCCTTGCTTGGCGACCCCCATGAAATGGTCGATCGACCCCAAATGAGGTCCCGACCCACAGGTTGAGAACCACTGGTTTAGATTCTACAGAGGATAGACAGGAGAAACTTTGTATAAAAAGAATTAATATGTGGACTTGCTGGCTGGGGAATTCTGGGAGTTGAAGTTCACATATTTAAAGTTACCAAGGTTGAAAAACACTGGTCTAGTGAGAGCTGCTGGACATAACCTTCCCAGTTTAAAGATTATACTGCGAGTCCCCTAGCTCTGGATAAACATGAACATTTAACTTATACAAAGAATTTACTATATGTACTATTGTGAGAACTACCTCCCCCCCAAAAAACCCCTCTTACAGCATGATTTGTTTCGCAGAACAAAAATGTATATGACATAGGCACCTCCTAGGAATCATTCACAGAAATAAATGATCATTGCTTGAGTTAATGATTTTTATTAATGGAATAATATTCTTAAGATTTTGTTAAATTGTGTATTAATATAGACATAAGGTTTTAATTCCAAAAATCTATAAGAAAATTTTTAATTTTGGGATAAACATAGTGGAATCTCTTCAAAAAATCTGTAAAATATGCTTTGTTGCAAGCCGGGTTATTTAGCTAATATCTTAAAATGTCCTCGTTGTAATAAGTAGTTGTCCTGTGAATTGTCCGTTTATGTCTTTTTTTTAAAAAAAAAAATGATTTAATTTATTAGACTTGTTTAATACATTTTGGACACAATGCTATGAGAGATTGTGTTCCAGGTTGCAAAACAGTTTTTAGATTTTATAATCTTATTTACTTTGCAAGTTTCTAAAATGTTTTTTGAACATCTAAAACTATGTCTTTGGTATTTCAGCATAAAAATGTGTAAACTAAATTCTGCAAGCTGATTCTATATTTAAGTGTTTGAGTAAGTTTTAAACAAAATGCCTCTTCAATGCAAATGATTTTTTTACGTCTGCAGTTACTCTGCAGTGACAGTTCTTTTGTAGTTTCACTTTTTCTAATGCTAGTATCCTACAAATATTTTAATAGTTAAGATTTTTCTAAAATTGTTCAATTTTTGCTTCTGTAAAAAGTTCATTTTTTTTCATCACCAAATTTTTGAATGCATGTAGAAATGTCTGAAAAGAACTGTACATAGCCTGCTGTTTAGACATTAAAACGGTTGTTTGATGGCCATGTTAATTTTAGATTAGAATTATTTCCTACACCATCCAACTAAATATGAAAAACCTGTGTGGAGGAAGTTGATGTAGTTTTCATGAAAATACTGTTTAAATAGCATTATTTATGCATGAGTAAATAGCTGAATTTTTTTACTGAAATGACAAATCAAACTTTTCATTAATAATTAACACCGTTTCCTAGATCTGAGGGGTTTTTTTAAAAAAAAAATTTAAACAATTTTCTTTTGGTTAAAAATTTTGTAGAATGTTTTCAAACTCTATTCCATAGTTGTATGCATTTAGGGGAAGGAAAATTCTGGACAGTTCAGCTTGCTTTGGTTGCCGATATATTTTTGCATTCAGTTTATTAGCTTTGGGTTTAAGTTACAAAGAACTGTACCATCACCATTCATTTCACAATGGCTATTAGATCCACTTATAAATTAGCACTGAGATCTGTGCAGTACGTTAGTCTTAAAACTGTTTACCTATAATAAAACTGCATGATAGGGTGATGGAACCTTACAGTTTACTCTGTAGGTTAAAAAAAAACAATGGGCACTCGAGGATAGTCACATGCTCTTTTTCAAATAACATAAATGTAATTAAACCTCACAATGAGTTGAAGCTGATAAATAGTCACCTCTTCTTACAGAAGCTGCATGGATTTCATTTTGAAATCAAACCTGGAGTTATCTGTTGCAACACAGTTACAACTCTTAGTTGCAATTCTGCTGTAGTAGTTAAACCTGTCAAGAATGGCGGTTAGAATCCAAATAGTTGGATAAAGTCTGAATGTGCCACTGATTTTGTAAGAACCTATGTAACTTTCTATTCTTATTTATATCAATAAATCCCACCACTGTTTTATCAAACTCTTATTTGTTGAACGTACACTCTATTGCTGCATATTGTTTTTGAAAATCATTTGGTAAACATCGCAGCATTAATCAGCATTTCATTTATTTATTTATTTTCCCACATTTATTACTATTTTATAAACAGTTCAACATGGTGAACGTATCTAATGCTCCTTCCTCTTCCTATTTTCCCCACAACAATAATCCTGTGAGGTGGGTTGGGCTGACAAAGAGGGACTGACCCAAGATCACCCAGCTGGCTTTCACAGCTAAGATGGGACTAGAACTCATCTTTTAACCACTACCAGGGGTAGGCAACCTTGGCTCTTTTATGACTCGTGGACTTCAACTCCCAGAATTCCTGAGCCAGCCATGCTGAGGGGAAAGGGAGAGGTTTCCATGGTGAGCCATGCTGGCTCAGGAATTCTGGGAGTTGAAGTCCACGAGTCATAAAAGAGCCAAGGTTGCCTACCCTTGCGTGACTAGACCAAACTGGCTAATTACTACAGGGTGTTGCATTAGTGAGGAAAGCTGACTTGAGCTTGATTCTTTGGGGACTCTTATCAGCTTATTGGGGTTTTGAATCGTATATTTGCTTTACCTATGCTTGCTGTAAGAATTTTTTATCCCTCAGCTGGCAGTTTCCAGATAGGTGTCCTAGCTGCCTCATGACATCACATTGGCTATGTCCCAGTGACTTGGCCGGCAGGCATTGTTCTTCTGTCATGACATCATTGGTCTTGGGAGTTCAGGTGGAAAGAATCTAATACACAACCTTGTTCATAGAATGCAAAGCAGAAGAAAGTCACTTGGCACAAATCCCCAAACCAGAACAGGAACAAGTTCACGTACCTTATGGCACCGGCAGTTGCGTTTAGGAGAGCTTTCATCTCCACAGTCACGGCTTTTCAATATCAAGTTACAAATAGTTGAAACTGAAGAATTATTTTCATTACCTGAATGCCATCGCGACTTAAGTATCGGTAAACTGAAGAGTCGACTCGAGCTTTTTGTTGGCATCCCAGTGAATTTCCAGCGAATTCAGTACCTGGATGAAGGTGAATCCTCTTTTCCGCTTAACCATAATATCATAGTCCTCCATGTAATGTCTTACTGACTGAGCTAGGAAATTTTTTTCTGAATATGGATGGTTTCAAGGGTTATTAGTCAAAACGGTATCCAGCATAAATGATAAAAATATAATATGTAGCTATATTACAGCACAGGCTTGGATATGCTTAAATAAAAAACTTGTACATAGGTAGTCCAAGTTCTGTGCTAATGAAATGTAGCTTCAGTGTCAAGTCAATCAGGTCATTTTATTTAGACAGAAATGTGTATCTTCTAGTTAATCAGTTAATCATTCAAGGCAGCTCATTACCTAGTTGGGTAATTAAATGTTTGCAGGCAAACAACCAAGCTCAGAGAGCACCAAGGACTCTGCAGCTCATAGTACAGTAATTGTATTTTTAAAACAATATTGGCATGTACTATTTTAGACCTACCCAGGAGGTCTAAAGACTAAAAACTAGCAGTACAAGGCTCGATAAGGTATTTCATTGAGTAAACTTAAGGCCAGTTACTCTCTTTTGAGTCCAGTCCATCTTACAGGATTGCCATGTCAATATGCACTAGCATGAGAAATGTGGATAAAATAATGCAAAACAAATAGTGCCATTTTTTTAAAGTGTCCTTTGCATTAAAATACCTAAACATCCCAAAACAAATCAGGGGTCAGTCTTGTTTTCAATCAGATCCTGCTCCAAAATGTAACCAACTTCTCTAAGATGGTCTATTTCAGACATGTCAAACTTGTGACGTCACGTGACATCGTGCAATGTATCGGGACGGTTTGCCATTACCGGTAATGGGGTGGGCGCGGCTTCCGCATGACGCGTCCGGTCCGCGGGCCGGCAGTTTGACAACCTGGTCTATTTCATCAAATAGTATTTTTGAATGCAAAATAAAAACATGTTCAAGGGTGAGAAGCTTCAAGGGAGAATGTATTCATTCCCTTATCAGCGGTGCTCCTAACTTTTTTAGTGTCCAACCATCTTTTGGGTGGACTACAAGTAGTGGAGGGAAAAAACCCTGCACAGATGAAACAATATTTATTTTAAAATGTGCTACAACTTGTTTAAAAGGCAACGGCAAATTTCCTTTACCCCTCCTCATGTAATTTCTTATACTGTTTTGTGTCTAATTGCACTCCTTGGGTTTAGTCTATTTCAAAGCAATGTTTTATTGTCAGCCTTAAGTCCTTCTTAAATCCTTGGGCTTTTTTCAGTAAGAATAAGTACACTTTTTCTTATTTGGATAAGACTTCAATTTTCTGATGGAAGCTTTTTTCCCCCCCTTCTCTAATGCTTTGACTGAAATTGCTCATCCACTATATTGGTCTTGATTTTACCTTTGTTTTGAATTCCGGTGAAGTTTCTGTTACTGTCATTTCAATTTCCTTTTCAACATTCTTTTTATTCTGTTGTTTATTCTTGATCAAAAATGACTTGTGTTAAAACGTCCTTAGAAAAATAAGCATACACTTTATACACAATTGTATAAGCATACAATTTATACACTTCTATATAAATTGTACACCTTGGTGTATTCAACAGTGTTGTGACCTATTGTTTTACCTGTTGTGTTTCAGAACGTATTTATTCACATAATCTAAGGCAGGGGTCTTCAAACCTGGCCCTTTTATGACTTGTGAACTTCAACTCCCAGAATTCCTCAGCTAGGCACGCTGGCTGAGGAATTCTGGGAGTTGAAGTCCACAAGTCATAAAAGGGCCAAGTTTGAAGACTCCTGATCTAAGGTCTCCTATGGACAAAGTATGACTGCAGAATTTGCTAAAGCTACTAAAGCTGCAGTCAACATGAATTATTCAGCCGCTCTTGGAAGACAATAGGTGGGCATTCTTGTCTAAGGATAACTTCCTGACCACATCCTCTCATGATTCTACAATAAATGCTCCCATCTTTTTCTTGACATTAAACAGCAAAATGGCTCTGTTTCTGTTTCAAGTGGCATCAGAACCCTTTTATACAGGTTTGTCCTGATGCCTCCACACAATGTTTAATGAATGCTCCCTAAATCACTTTTCTATTTATGCACTGTATTTCCTCAAATCTGCTTGGCCAATTTGTCCTCTATGGCAGAGGTCCCCAACCTTTTGGGCACCAGGGACCGGTTCCATGGAGAGAGATTTTTCCATGGACTAGAGCAGGGGTGTCAAACTCAATTTCATTGAGGGCCACGTCAGCATTGCAGTTGCCCTCGGGCCGGGTGGGTGTGGCCTACTGGGTGGGTGTGGACAGAGTGGGTGTGGCCTATTGGATGGGCATGGCCAGCTCTACATCGTTTGCGTCAAGGGTGCCTGGGCAAGAGCGGGACAGATCTGAGGGTCTCTGGCAGAAGGGGGTGGGACCGGGGCAAGTGCCAAGGCATGGTCCACTGGAGGAGCCTCACTGCCTGCTGAAACTCCTTCGCCGGAGCCCATCAAGCCGGATATATGAAGTAGGCGAGGGCCATTTGCTGGCCACTTCCAGGCCTTGGTGCATTTATTCATTCCTCACAAAGGGTGACACCTCCCCAGCATGCACCCAGCGGGCGGCGCCGACACAGCAGGTGCTGGTTCCTCGTTGTTTCCAGATGGCCTTGTGGAGCTAAGACTGAATGCATTTCAGCATAGATGGCCACCACAAAATTGTACATTGGCTCCCGGCCGGCCTGGGCCAGGGCCAAGGCAGTGGGAGCCGTTCCCTCGCTGTTTCCAGGATGGCTTCGCGGGCCACATGAAATCACTTCGTGGGCCACATCCAGCCCCCGGGCCTTGTGTTTGACATGTCTGGACTAGAGGGTGCGTGTTTTTGTGTGCTGCCTGCATCCCACAGATGGGGCTTTGCTTGTTTGTGCGGACCAGTTGCTGGCATGCTGCGGCCCAGTACTGGTCTATGGACTGGGGGTTGGAAACCCCTGCTCTATGTGGCACAGGCAATATTTCAAACTATGTTTCCTTGGCTTGCCCAGTGCTCAGTTTTCTACATAATCCTGATTTCTGAACCTCACAGTCTGGATGAACATCAGAGCTTCTTCCAGCATTGTGTACAGGCCACCTTGGAAATGCATAATGCGTACAACTTTTGCACCGGATTAGCAATTTGTCTACAGTCTGTTTGCCTATTGCAAACCCAGCTGTGTAAAGGTAAAATTAAGCTCCCCGGCTTCATCAAGATATCTCCTCTGTAAAATAATATTTGAAGAATTGCTCTTACTTTAGAACAGTGTCGTCCTCCTTAAGATTTTCTGTTTCCCCTAATACATGGAAAAACACCACCCTGACAGCTGGCTTCTGCTTCTATTAATTTCTTTCAGGTGCTTAAGATTAACTATTTTCTAAAATTCAGGACTTGTACCAAGAGCATAAACATGACTTCTGGCAAGCAAGCCAGTCGTTGTTATGTGTTAACACTCTTTACCTCTCCTTTGATAGGTTGTAATTTCCTGTCAATTCCATTACTTTCAATTTTATTTATCTATAAAGCTAAATGAATTACTGTCAGATGGGGAGAGGGACAGACATGACTATTCTGACCACCTCACCACTTTCTGTTTATCCTGACCTTTGGGCTAGGACGTTCTTTGTTTATGGATCTAGGCTCTATTACAAAACCGCCTTCCTCCTAAACACTTCTCAAGTTTACTGATTATGCATCTAGTTCTTTGTTTCCTTCTCATTTGCTTTGCTGGATTCTGAATCCTCTGACATGGAAGTCCAGATTTGGAACTGAATGTTGTCTTAGCCCAGGCATGTCAAACTCGCAACATCATGTGACATCGCGCAACGTAACGGGCTGGTTTTGCCATTGTTGGCAATGGGGTGGGCGCGGCTTCCACGTGATGCGTCCGGTCCGCAGGCCGGCAGTTTGACCCCCCCATCTTAGCCATACTCCACGTAAGTGAGAGGGTGGTGTAGTACTCAGTAGTTAAGACGCTGGGCTCATTGGCTGGAAAGCTGGCCGTCCAGGTTCAAGACCTGAGCACCACATCATGGAGGAGCTCCCGTCCTTGCTCCAAGTCCTGCCAACATAGCAATTCGAAAACATGCAAATGCAAGTAGATAAATAGGTACCACTTTGGTCGGAAGGTAACATCACTCCCTGACATCATGCTGGCCATGTGACTGCGGAAATATCTTTGGACAGTGCTAGCTCAATGGCCTTGAAACGGAGATGAGCACCACCTCCTAGAATTAGTAACAACTAGTGGAGTAAAATCCACAGAGACTCTTTTAGTTTTTTTTAACCACACAAATGACAGGAAATCAGTTCTGAATCTCTGTACCTAAAAATTCTGGTTTTGGCTGAATTTGATGTAACTGGTTGATACTTTATGCAAGCATTAATACCTTGCAGAAAATTACTTCTTCAGGCAAGGGGCACTGTTGAGTCAGACCTCCTCAAGAATTCCAAGGTTAAAAATAATTGGTTTTGAAATCAGACTGATCTTGCAAATGTCCAAGAAAAGATCTCATGGTCTTCTTTCTATCCAGAACATCCTCTTTCTCCAAGCCTACTGTTTTCAGTTTGCTTCTACAGCAGATCTTGATGATGAATCTACTTTGAGGAAACATGAAATCGTCCCTGGAGCAACTCTCACTATGAGAGTTTGGCCAGAAGATTCTTGGGGACAATTGGTGGCTGCAGCTGCAAGTGGAAAGATCAAGAAGGTTAGTTTGAAAGCTTTACAATCACCTGGTACTGTTCTATAGAAACTACAGTGAGGGGTTTTTTTTTTTGAAAGGCTTCCGTTGAATCAAGGAATGTTTTAATAGTAATTTGGGCATAGTACAAAAAAAACAGATAATTGCTGGAAGCCTGGCACACTGACAAATTGGCCATCAGCAAACACATAGACATAAGCAACATCCACATGCCATTCAAAAGAGACAACAAGCCAAAAAAGACCAAAAAGACCAAAACACCTCGCCACCAGCAATCAACACCCAGATGAACATCGATTAACGTCAGACAAACAGTCAAGAAGTAAACAATAGCCCAATAATTTGCATTCAGAAATCTTGGTAAATTGTCATTCTGAACCCTCACACTTACCTAATAGACTCGGTTTAAATATATCAAAATTCAAAACTGAGGTGTTAAAAGGAATCTTAGCCAACCAGTCCCTCTTAGAGATTTAGATATCCCTGGCTACTTCAAGATTTTGAGACCCCTACAAATAGAAACAAAAGGCATGAAAACAAAATAAAATCTGAATTTGATTACCTCAGAAAATAAATCAGGATTAGATACGGTGAGTACAGGTAGTCCTTGACTTGCAACAGTTCATTTAGTGACTGTCCAAAGTTATAACGGCAATGAAAAGAGTGACTTACGGCCATTTTTTACACTTATGACCATTGCAGCATTCCCCCATGGCCACATGATCAAAATTCAGATGCTTGGCAACTGACTCATATTTATGACTGACACAATGTCCAGGGTTCATTGTGATCACCTTTCATAACCATCTGACAAGCAAAGTCAATGGGAGAGCCAGATTCACTTAACAACTATGTTACTAACTTAACAACTGCAGTAATTCACTTAAGAACTGTGCCAAGTGCCAAGTGCCAAGGAAATCAGGAGATCCAGGCAGTTCAACTGAATATAAAGATTTATTGCAAGCTGTCAAGGGAATTTAGTGGTAGATAAGAGTAGAAGGAATTCAAGGTAGGCTGGATTAAAATATCTTATGGGCCTGCAGAGACTCATGACTGATGATGCGTTTGACCCCTCCCTCGGGCTCAGCCTGGTCATCTCCTAAAGAAAGGTCATAAAATGGGGAAAGTTCACTTAACAACCATCTCGCTTAGCAACATAAATTTTGGGCTCAATTGTGGTCATAAGTTGAGGACTACCTGTACTTAAATAGAAGATCACAGAAAAACCTCACAACAGCAAATGGACAGAGAAGATAACATGGAACTCATTTATAGGTAGCTCTGGACTAGAATTGCTATTTTTTTCCGGTCATTAAACAAATCACAGGATTGTTAAGCAAATCCAGCTTCCCCAATGGGCATTTCTTTGCCGGAAAATCAGCAAGAAAAGTTACAAATGGAAGAGCAAAGAAATCCCCACAGAGGAAGAGTCACTATATAAAATAGCATGTGCGGAAATGGACAGGCTTACAATCATTTTGAAAGACAAATGTGGATCAGTTTACTTCGAAACCTGGGATAAATTTTACTGCTGGAGAGATTTGAGGAGGACGGTTGGGATTAAAGACTAGCGTTAAGATAGAAATATATGTTATTTTAGAATAAGTACTGTATATAAAACTTAGATGTATATTTAGAGATGAAGAACCAATTGTAAAATGTGGAATAATTTGATAAGAATGTATATACTGGAATGTCACGTTATATCCAATGTTTTTTTAATTGTATTATAAATAAAATTTTGTAAAAAAAAAGAAAAGATTACAAATCACAAGCATGTGACCACAGAGGGCTGCAACTGATTACAAATGGAAGACAACTGCCCAAACTGGTCACGTCACTATTGGGGATAGTTGTGAGTAAAGGCTGTAAATCATTTTTTTCTGAGAACGGCATAACTTTGAACAGTCATTAAATGAAGGGTTGTAAGTCGAGAACCGCATATACAGCATGTATTGTGTTTCCTTTTCCAGCTTCTCAATACTGAGCCATTAACATTTGCGTCTTTGTTGCCAGTTGCAAACCGTAGGAGTTACACAGAGCGCCTCGTTCAGCACCGCAAATTCGAAGCTGATGACGGAAGAAACAAGGAATGACTGGTTAGCGCATCGAGCATTTGTGGCTTTATTTATGACTGCTCACAGAGGCCACACGAGGGCCATGGAATTTTTGCTCCAACATGGTAGTGTACTAAGTTCTGAAAGGACTCCCGTAATAGTCTATGCTGATTTTTTCCACACAGGTAGTCCTCAAATTGCAATCATTTATTTAGTGACCAAAGTTACAGCAGCAATGAACAAAGAAAAGTATGACCATTTTTCACACTTATGACCATTGCAGCATCCCCATGGCCGTGGGATCAAAACAGCATACTGGCTCATATTTACGACGACTGTGGTGTCCCAGGGTCATGTGATTACCTTTTGCAACCTTCTGACAAGCAAAATCAATGGGGAAGCCAGATTCGCTTAACAACCGTGTTACTAACATACTGCGGCAAGAAAAGTCGTAAAATTAAGGCAAAACTCACTAAACAACTGTCTTGCTTAATAATGGAAATTTGGGGCATAATTGTGATCGTAAATTGAGGCGTATCTGTAATGTAGTACTTCTGCTAAGTTCAAGTTGGCTTAAGACAGTTTAAGCCTAGAGTGGTCACTTGTATTTAAAACTGGGCGGAGGGAAGAATGCCTGTTTTTTCTTATTATTGATTTCTGTTCTCAAGCTTGGGGCTTCCAAGACTGGCATCTTCAAAAATTTCTGTGTCCAAACAAGCTTTGGAACTTGCCTTTCTCAAATCAAAATCTGCTGGCCATATGGCAAATCAGTTCTGCCTGTAACTGATCCAGCCTCTCTTCCATAAGCCCAGAACTGCCCAACTTCCAACATCTTGGGTGTGGCATCAGACTATGCGCAGAGCGATAAGGATCAGGCTGATGTAGCTAAACCCATTTTGTGGGAATGATGAAATGGGCCACTTAAACCTCTGCTTAAGAGGAAAGAACAACTCTTTGGTAGATCCCAAAGAGGCTTTTTCATGAGGCAACTGGACTTTCTTGTTTTTCTTTGAAGACGTTTCGCTTCTCATCCAAGAAGCCTCTTCAGCTCTGACTGGATGGTGGGAATGGAAAGATTTATACTCCTTGTAGATAGCTGGTTGTTTGCATTCTTTTAGAGAGTTGTTGAGGCCACATGGAGATGTAAATGGGTGTGGAGCCTTCTTGGAACTGTTGAAAGGATTGTGTTGCAGATTGGAGATAGATTATGTCATATCCCTCCCCCCTGTTGAGAGAAGGCTGCTCAGTTTTGACCTAGATGGCCTCTTTGACCCCTCTTTCAAACCAGCGGTCCTCTGTCCAAAATGTGGACTTTGCTGTCTTTGAAAAAGTGATCTTTGTCTTCTAAATGCAGATGGACTGCTGAATCTTGTCCTGATGGGTTTGTTCTCCTGTGTTATGAAGTGGTTGTTTTGTTTCCTCAATGTAGAACACAAAGCATAGAATAACAGAGTTAGAAGGCACCTTGGAGGTCTTCTAGTCCGGCTCAAGAAGGAGATCCTACACCATTTCAGACAAGTGGCTCTCCCGTCTGTTAAAAGCCTCCAGTGATGGGGCATAAGAAATGTGTCCCCGGAGGAGACTCTGTCTCTGACTGCTTTTTATATGAAACAAATGTTAAACCTAGTCTTATTGAATCCCAGATATGTCTTTTATTGCTTTCCAGGTGCTGATGTAAAACTTAAAACCCCACTGGGTAGGACAGCCCTTCACGTTGCTGTCACTTCGGGCCAGGTTGAATGTATCAGTACCCTCCTTGAATATGGAGCCAGGGCCAGTGACGAGGACAATGAAGGACACAACGCTGTACAGCTGGCCCGGCTGTGGAAACAGAGAGAGAGCGAAAGGAGGCTCTTCCGGCACAGGTGGATGGTGCGAACAGGTAGAAGCAGCCAACACCAAAACATCAAATAGAAACTGGAAATCAAAGCAGATATTTAACTGCACAACTGGTGGAGGGATTAAGAACATTTTCCACTTGAACTTTTCCTGAGAAATATATACTATACTGAAACACAAAACTTCATTTCTCTACAAAGGTCTTACCCAGCTGTAAATGAGATAGTTATAGCAATGATAGTCTTAAAATTCCTCCATGGTTACTAGTGTTAGGCATGTGCTCCTCATGGCTGAGCAACAGTGTTTTGGGGAAATCTTGCTGCTTCTGTCCGGTTATCCCAACAACCATCAGCCACCTAAGGGGTAGGTGAGGCTGGTAGAATAGCCCAAAGTCATCCAGGGAGCTTCCATGACTGAGGTGAAATAGAACAGTGATGGCGAACCTTTTAGACACCGAGTGCCCCAAAACCACCTCGCCTGCCCGCAGGGCCTCCTACTGCCTCCACGGCCTGCCGCAGATCGCCCAGGTGGCCCCACAGCGCCATGGTGGCCACGCCCTCCGCCCGTGCCCCACAGCATCATCTGCGCGCAACGATGGAGTCTTGTCCCTGCTGCCATGTCCTTGGCTGCGCTGCTCCACGTGGGCCACGCCCGGGGGGGATTCTCCTCTGGGGGGGGCTGCTGGTGAGGAGGGGACCATGGGGGGAGGCGGGGCTGCGGCAATGGCATGCATGCCCACAGAGAGGGCTCTGCGTGCCACCTCTGGCACGTGTGCCATAGATTCGCCACCACTGAACTAGAACTAAGGTTCCTACAGTTCTAGTTCAATCCCTTAACCTCCATACCATACTACCTCTTTTACCTCCCCGATGTAGTTCCAGTATTATATCTAGAAGCCACCTGACTGTATTAAACTGTGTATAGTGTGTTGAGTCAATATTACTCACGTTTGTGCTCAGATCACCGAGTTCGAACCCCTATAGGTATTCCTATAGAGATCTAGTTCCTGTTTAGATTACAGGGTGATTGGATTGAAGAAAACTCAGTAAAACAGTCTGACCATTTAATACACCACCCTAAATGTTTAGTTAAATTAAAAATTATCTTGAGAAAATAGATCTTCAACTCTTTTTGTCATCACTGTTCTCTCCCCCCACCCCGGCTGTTACAAACAATCTGTGTTGCAATTGCAAATCAATTTGGAAAGGAGATTTTCAAATGTCAGGATTTGCAAGTGGGAATACAGGATTCCTTCCCAATGTTTCAGTTTCATACTGTATGTCTGTCACTCTGTTTCCTGCATCAGGAACTTATGTTTTTAAAATCAGGGTACCAGACCTAGGACTAGGATTCATTACTAAGAGTATGAATTTTCATCCTGTGAGGAAAACCACAGATAGTTTTACTTACAATAAGTGGTTAGACTTGAAATATCAATCCATCTGCAAGTAATAATAATAATAAAGTTGGAAGGGACCTTGGAGATCATCTAGTCCAACCCCCTGCTCAGGCAGGAAACCCTATACCATTTCAGACAAATGGCTGTCCAGTCTCTTCTTAAAAACTTCCAGTGTTGGAGCATTCACCGCTTCTGGAGGCAGGTTGTTCCAATGGTTAATTGTTCTGTCAGGAAGTTTCTCCTTAGTTCTAGGTTGCTTCTCTCCTTGATTAGTTTCCATCCGTTGCTTCTTGTCCTGCCTTCATGCGCTTTGGAGAATAGCTCGACTCCCTCTTCTTTGTGGCAGCCTGAGATATTGGAACACTGCTATCATGTCCTCCCTCATCCTTCTCTTCATTAAACTAGAGTAGACATACCCAATTCCAACAACCGTTCCTTATATGTTTTAGCCTCCAGTCCCCTAATCATTTTTGTTGCTCTTCTATGTACTCTTTCTAGAGTCTCAACATCTTTTTTACATTGTGGTGACCAAAACTGGATGTAGTATTCCAACTGTGGCCTTACCAAGGCCTTGTAAAGTGGCATTAACACTTCACGTGATCTTGATTCTATCCCTCTCTTAATGTAGTCTAGCACTGTGTTGGCTTTTTTGGCAGCTGCAGCACAGTGCTGGCTCATATTTAGTGATTGTCCACTAGGACTCCGAGATCCCTCTCACAGTTACTACTATTGAGCAAGATACCACCTATACTATACCTGTACATTTGGTTTTTCTTGCCCAAATATAGAACCTTATTTTTTTCACCATTGAATTTCATTTTGTTAGATAGCGCCTAATGTTCAAGTCTGTCCAGATCCTCCTGTATCTTAAGCCTGTCTTCTGGAGTGTTGGCTATTCCTGCCAGCTTGGTGTCGTCTGCAAATTTGATGAGTTTCCCATCTATCTCCTCGTCCAAATCATTGATGAAGATGTTGAAGAGCACTGGGCCTAGAACAGAGCCCTGGGGCACCGCACCACATGCTTCCCTCCATGTAGATGCAGTTCCATTGAGGACCACATGCTGAGTACGGCTGGTCAGCCAGCTACGAATCCATCTGGTGGTGATGCTGTCTAACCCACATTTTTCTATCTTATCAAGTAGTAGGTTGTGATCTACTTTATCAAATCCCTTACTGAAGTCCAAGTAATTATATCCACAGCATTCCTCTGGTCCACTAATTTTGTCATTTGGTCAAAGAATGCAATAAGATTTGTCTGGCATGTTTTTGACAAACCCATGTTGGCTTTTGGTAATGACTTTGCGTCTAGGTGTTCGCTGATTTGTTGTTTGATTATCTTTTCCAGAATCTTCCCAGGTATTGAGGTCAGGCTGATAGGTCTGTAATTTCCTGGATCCATCCCCCCCCCCTTTTTGAAGATAGGAACTACATCAGCTCTTTTCCAGTTCTCTTTTCCAGTCCCCAGTGCTCCAGGATCCTTGAAAAATATAGTTCAGTGGTTCTGATATCACATCTGCCAGTTCCTTGAGAACCTTGGGGTGTAATCCATCTGGTCGTGATAATTTGAACTCGTCTAGGCTAGACAGGTGCTCACTTACCATTTTCTTGCCTATCTTAACTTGTGTTTCTATTCTGTTTTTTATGGCACTATTTTTGATAGGTTGGACTGTTTTTTCCCTTTGTGTAAAGACAGATGCAAAACCCGAGTTAAATAGTTCTGCTTTCTCCCTGTTGTTTGTCACCTCTTGCCACTTTCCCCCACTAATGGACCAATCGTTTCCTTCACTTTTTTCTTGTTTAAACCTATGCAACTTGGGGTGTATTTTTCTGAGTGAGTGCATATGCTGTAAATTTGTCTTGACTTTGTTGGAAGTGAAATAAGCTGTTTGCAAATTTGCCACCTGAGCAAAAGCATTTCATAGTTTACTTTCTGGTAAAAATTCACACTCTCTTGTTTGAAATAGTTTGTTATCCATTCCAATATTAACAGTATCGAGGGAGATACATGACAACTTTGCCTGTCTTTAGGAAAGTTATTAAGATCTGGCTTAGCCTCCAGGTGTATGGGTCCAGTTATGTGGAGCCCCCTTTTGGTTGTTTAATTCACACTTACTTTACATTTTATATATTGTGATATTTAAATGTTTGTATTGTGTGGTTATTTTATTTATATGCTGGCCAGTGTTTGAGTTGGGCAGCCTTACGAATTCAATAAATAAGCAAACTGTTTCCCTACCACTATTTCTTAATACAAGTAGTCCTCAACTTACAACCACAACTGAGCACAATATTTCTGTTGCTAAGCAAGAAAGTTTAGTGCGTTGTGCCCCATTTTATGATCTTTTTGCCACAGTTGTTAAGCAAATCACTGCATTTGTTAAGTGAATCATGTGGTTGCTAAGCGAATCTTGCTTCCCCATTGACTTTGCTTGTAGGAAGCCAGCTGGAAAACGTACAAATAGTGATCACACGGTCCTGGGACAGTGCAACTGTCATAAGTACATGCCAGTTGCCAAGCATCTGAATTTTGATCACATGACCATAGGAATGCTGCAATAGTTGTAAGTATGAAAATTGCCCATAAATCACTTTTTTCAGTGTTGTACCTTTGAACGGTCACTGAATTAATGAATGTAAGTCGAGGATTACCTGTAGTACAGAGAAATGGAGAGGTAACTTTTTCAAATGTTTTGGTACAAAACTGTAACTGAATAAGCATTAACTCTATCTCTATTCTTCTAGGGAGCAAAAGGCAGATAAAGGAACTTTAAATATCTCCTGCCCAGACTCTGGTAGGCCAGCAATGTTTCAACAAAGTTATTACATTCCAAACCATCCATATTGTGTCTTGAATTATTACTGAATTGTTCACCCTGGTTCTTTATGGCTTCAGCTAACCACTAAATCAGGGGGCCTTCCGCTCCTAATTTTAAACTATATCACTAACCGAAGACAAATCTCCTTTTTTGAATATCTCTTCCTGCTTGAGCAATCGGAGTGTCATTCTATCAGTGTCCACCAGAGGGCGCGCGAAGACTGGACATCAATCCATAAACTTTTTTTGATATACACTTGAGAGCAGGAAAACCTTCAAAATTTGGCAGAACCAAGTTTGGCTGAAGAAATGACAATGGCACTGAAACAAATGAATCCAGGTTGTGTTCTGGATTTTAGCTCCCAAATGATGGTTGTAATCACAGGGCAAAGCAAGAAATAAGGAAGACCTCTTTGGCTACCATGCTCTTGTCTCTTACTTCATAAAATATTCAGGTATATCTCCATATAACATATATACTATTTTGTAAGCCCAAATGTAAAAAAACGTCCATATGCCTTCTGTGATTTGTACAGCCTGTTTTCTTCCTTAAAAAAAAAGACACATCCACCCACCCAAAAATACTGCTTTCTAATTGTGGTAGTTTGCAACATGTTCCTGACAGATGTCGGAGTTATTATCGAAACATTTATTGCTTATTGAATATTTTACAGATTGAGGAAAAAGGAAGTCGCTTTTTTTTTAATGTCTAGACTGTTGGTGGGGGGGCAGGTAAGTAAAACAAAGTGAAGAATTTGGATCTCCTTTCAGAACTGTATTTCAGGAGAACATTCACTTGTCACATTTGAGGAGAACAAAGTAGGCCATTGAGAAGGAGAAGTTGGCTTCAAAGACTCTACA